TTTTTATGTGTTCATTCTGAGGCGTTATCCTCCTGGTTGTTTTGCTCTCGGTTGCTTTTATGGTTGCTTTTATCCTGCTGCTATCTGATGTTCACTTTTTGTGACACTTTGAGATTCACTGTGAATGTGAAGTGCATTATAAATAAAAGTTATTATTATTATTATTTATTACAAAATCCACTGTATAAACAGTCATATTAATTAACATGAAACACCCAGACACACCAAAAAAATAACAATATAATTTATATTTGATTATATTTTGAATACATTGTATCAAGTGAAGACCTACCACATGGGCTGTCATGCAACTAGGAAGCTGAAATTCACCAAGCAACTTCATCTATAGGAGCTTAAAAGACCTTGTAAATTTCAAGCATTTACCTTATTGTAGCGGGACGTTGTTAGTTTTTTTTTATTTGAAGGTCAATTTTTATTTTTTTAGCTGCCTAAAATGTATTGCATACACACCAAATTGTAATCAAAATTCCAACAAGAAAAAAGGCTGATGATTTCTTGTATGTTTCACAAAGATTTGTTCAGTGGTTCAAGTGATAATTTTTAAAAGGTACAAAGATTTATTTGGCTTAAGCTGAACATTTAGGACTGACGTGCACCAAACTTTTACCTGTTCTAGAAGCAAATGATATGATGATTTCCTGAAACCCATGTTGTTCATTTGAACTGAAACTAATTGAGCCCCATAGGCAGAGTCCCATTCACCAGACACTTGCTGATGACCCCCTCTCCCAGGCCTGGCTCCAGAGTGGGATCCCAGTAATCCACATTCAGCAATCTCCTTGATTTTGTCTGTCCAAACAATTTTTTTTTACCACAGTTGTTGATCATTTGAACAAATAAATTATTTGGATGTTTGCTAAGAAATAAATTAGCATTGGTAGCAATACAATGGCACAACTGGTAAGGCTGCTACCTCTCAGTGAGCAGGTTACCCTAGTTTAAATCCTCATCCAGGGGCCTTTCTGGGTGGAGTTTGCATGTTCACTCCATGCATGTGTGGGTTTTATCTGGGTACTCCGGTTTCTTCCCACAGACTAAAAACACGTATGTTATGCTAATTGGTAACAATTATTATCCCTGTTAGTGAGTGAGTGAATGGTTGTTTGTCTTGTTTGTCTCTATGTGGCCCTATGATGGGCTTGTGACCTGTCCAGGGTGTATCCCGCCTCTTGCACAGAGATTGCTGTTTATAGGCACCAGCAACCCCACGACCCATAATGGAAGACGCGAGTAAAAGATAATGGATGGATAAAATAAATTGTCAGTGGTGTCCTGAAGTAGGTCAGCTATTGTTAGACTGACTGACTGTGGGCTGGAGAGTAAGTCAGAGGCATTGATGCTATGAATATAACAGATGGTCTGTACACAATCAGTGTTGGATTTGGACTTGTGCAATTATTTATAGATTAAAACCCTTGTGAATAAATTTACTAGCTAAATAAAAGAAATAATTAACTTTAAAAATATATACTATGATGAAGTCCAAATGCCAATGGTCAATATATTCATTCAATTGTCTAACTCTGTTCTGCTATTTTTCTCATGAAATAAATTTGACAGCTTAAATTTATCAAAATGTAGTGGGACATAAGTGATAATGTACTGTGCATCACCACTGTCATATTTTTTATTTGTATTTCTTGTTAGTTTCTTTTACTGTGTTGTAGTCCAGGTTCTCAAATGGTAAACCTAATAATGAGGTTACCTTGGTAATTAAGGCACAATTTTGTGAGAAAAGGGACTAGATGAATAAGCAAGATAAGAAACTATCCCATGACATTCCTTTAATTTAGACCATACACAATATTCCACTGGACATATATCTTTTTTGTTTGAATGTAATTTAATTTAATTGGCTTTTTTGTGGTACTATATAAAATTTTATCAAGGTCAAGTTGTCTTTTTTGTCATTTTTTGTCATTCATTTATGGTTTTGTTATTGTTTTAAACATTTTCTTTTAGATATTTAATACATAGACAACAGCTGATTTTTCATTGTACTCATAAAGAATTAAAGCAACTATAAATCACCTGTAAATTTTGTATTTGGAATAAATTAGTAATTGGATATTCTAATGTTAATGACATGCAGCAAATGCATATTGATCAATTCAAGGAGTTCAGTTAATTTACTTTTTGTAGCATAATTACTTAAATGCACATTGCTATACAGACCATGATAGGTGGAGATATGGAAATAGGAATATATTTTAATAAACTGTAAGCAAACAAGTCCAAAAAGTTAATGTAAATCACTAGAGTATTTAGTATACAATGCTTTTGACATGTTAAAATAGTATTTGAAAATATAGTGCTGCTAATTTGCTGACACTAAGATTATAACTTTCAAAAGACAATATTTTTTATCAGTTTTTTAGAACAGTTTTCATTTTTGCTTAATCCATGTGCCCATTCATTTGTTTAAATTTTTTACATCAGGCAAAACATGGGCTACTATGTGGTCCTACTTATAGTTTAAGTTTCTATTTTATGATTCTTTATCATCAGGCATTACATAGGCCACCTATGAAGTTTAATGCAGTTCTACACACTCCCACTAGGGACAACATTGAGGTATACACAGATTTTGTGGGGAGGCGAGGGGCGAAACCATACACATACACAAAAAAACCTATTTTAGTGACTTTTTGGGACGTTTGAGATTTTTGGATTAAAATACATTTTGGAGCGTGCTGAATGCGATTATAAGGTTCTCTAATTGGGGACCGTGGTTTTGGTCCCCACTTGCCAAGGTGTCCCCAAATGACTGGTGTGTAAACGTGTTCACGACCCCAAATATAACATAAGCAAACGCACCATCACACACACACACACACACACACACACACACACACACACACACACACACAGGTTTGTTTTGCTATCTTTGTGGGGGCTTTGCATTGACTTCCATTCATTTTTCATTCATTTCTATAGCCTAACCATGACCTTTATCCATAACCTAACCATTACCAGTACATACCTAACCCTAAACCCAACACATCCTCAATTCACACCTTAGTCCTAAACCTAGCCCCTAACCCACCAACAGGACTTCTTCTTATGGGGCCCGGGCTTTGGGCCCCATAAGGAGCAGTTGGTCCTCACAATGTAGTATAAGTTGGAAAAATGGGCCTCACAAAGTAGCATAAACAAGGACACACACACACACACACACACACACAGAGAGAGATAAATAAGCCATTATCTAATCTTTTAATAACACGCTGTAAGATTAATTCCTTGCCTGCCAGCTGTTGCAGTGATTTAACTGCTGGAAGAATGTTCTGTCTGTTTCTCTGGCTGCTGCATGACCCTGGTTCTGGTTCTGTCAGTCTGGATGGATTTCTGTGTTTAATCGGAGCTGAACAATCAGACACAAGCTGAGCTACGGTCACACGCTTCATCCTGATAATGTCTGATTTAAAGCGAAGGTTCAGTTTCAGCTGTTGGTCTGCTCTGCAGCTGAGAGTCTCAGCCTTCAGCTGAAGCTGGTCCTCCTCGGAGGACTTGCTGAACTCAGACAAGAGCTCCAGTCTTCAGCTCACAGGAAGTCATAAAATAAGACTTTAAATGAATCCTGTGTTTGTGCAGCAGGGGGCAGCACTGAGCTGCTCAGCTCTTGCCTTCCTCCAGACTCTTCATCCAGGTGGGAATATGCTGACGTCGTCTACACCGTGAAGGGACAGAAGGCAGGTAAGATAGCCTGACCACCAGCTCATAGATTACCCATCATGCACCTAGTAAGGCCTATAGGGTCTCTGTGTGTTCCAGGTGAGCTGGCTTACAAGGCGTGCCTCACTGAGGTACAAAAGTTTCTGTACAGCAAAGTGATGAAGGCGTCCGAGGCTGCAGACGTCCACTTTTACGCCTTCTCCTTCTACTATGACCGCGCCGTCGACCTCGGGCTCATCGGTAAGAAGGTCCACATCATCTCACCACCCTGCTCCTGGTCTGCACCTGTGGTGGATGTTGTATCTGACAGTCACAGATTACACCATCAGAAAGTAAACTGTCATTTCACCAGAGGTCAGACATTAATAGAATTCACCAGATGTTTATAAAAAGTTTTCCAAAGTTACAGCTGTTCAGTCCAGCCAATCAGCACGCAGCTTCACAGCTTGATGGAGATGTTTCTGTAGCAGAAATGTAAAAAACGTTTTTTAAGAACTCATCTCTGTTCCTGCAGTGCTGACTCGAAGGAACGGTTCCTCCTGAGGCTTAAAGCTTCAGTGTGTTCATTTCACACACAGAACCATTGAAACGGGTCAACTGGGTGAAGGATTCTGGGACTGTTCTGGGATGACCCATTCATGATGAAGTATTGCTTCTGGTCCATTACTGCTTTGTGTCCAGGATGTAGTCTGATCCCAATAGTCTTTAGAAAAGCTGCTGTCAGAGGTTCTGTGTTTGTTGAACAGAACCAGCTGGCTGTGGGCTGAGTCAGCTGGTTCTTCAGTGAGCAGCTGATGTTCTGTTGGACCGTGAACATGACCACAGGTTCTGATCTCTTTCTTTGCTCAGATGAGAAGAAGGGAGGAACCGTCAGAGTGTCGGACTACGTCCATGCTGCTAAAAGAGGTGAGACAGCACCACCTGGCTGCAGACTGAGGCTCGCACAGCTGAGGACCACAACCTGGTCCATGTTGGATCAGGTCAGGAGGTGGAACATGTTCCCAGCTGCAGGAACACACCCAGGAGTTCTTCACACAGGAGAACATTCAACATAAAATAACACTTTAGACAAAAAAAAAGACACCAAAGACGGACAAAACCCTTTTTTACCGATTTAAATAACTGGGAGTACAAACTCCTCGTCACACAAACTTTAACTCATTAAAGCTTAGTCCAGACTCTGCAGGTTTTTATACACAAATTATTAAAGTCTTATATCAGAGAAATATGAATCATTTTGCCTTATTTAACATAAAGTGCAGTCCTAGTTGAGAGTGCACTTCAATTCAGTTTATATCTATAGCTCCAAGTCACAACAGAAGTCATCTCAGGGCACTGAACAGAAACATTCATATACATTATCATTTCATCAATCTAAGGAAGCAGCAGATTGTGTTGAATCTTCACGTTGTCACTGTCTCCCATCCTGAACAAACACAAAGGAAACAGTGGAAAAGAAAAACTCCTTTTAACAGGAAGAAACCTCCAACAGAACCAGACTCGGGACGAGCAGCCATCTGCTTCGACCAGCTGGAGTTTGAGAGGAACAGGAAGTAGAAACAGACAAACACAGAATGACTGGTCCAGATGTAGTTTCTATAGGAGGAAATACAAAAGTTATGTTAAGACAGAAATAATTACAAATACAAACAGGTAGAATAAACACAGCAGCAGAGTGAGGACATGTGGTCAATTTGTCCTCAAGCAGTCTAAGCATATAGCAGCATAACTAAGAGATAGTTCAGGAAACTCAAGCCAACCCTAACTATAGGATTTATCAAAAAGTAAAGACTTAAGCCCAGTCTTAAAACTGGACACTGTGTCAGCCTCATGGACAGAAACTGGAAGTTGGTTCCACAAGAGGAGCCTGATAATCAGGTCTCTCTTGTAAATGAGTCCTCGAGGCTCAGTGGGATTTACCTGTCTAAATAAAGGTTGAATGAATGATAACTGAAAGATCTTCCCCCCATTCTGGTTTTGGAAACTTTAGGGACCACAAGTAAACCTGCTGTTTGAGAGTGAAGCGCTCTGTTAGGAAAATATGGAACAATAAAATCTGTAATATAAGATGGAGCTAGGTTGTTGAGAGCTTTGTAGGTTAGAAGTAAGATTTTGAATTCTATTCTGGATTTGACAGGGAGCCAATGGAGAGAAACTAAAACTGGAGAAATATGATCTCTACCACTAACTCCAGTTAAGACTCTGGCAGCAGCATTTTGGATCAACTGAAGACGTTTTAAAGAAGTAGAGATGCACCGATCCGATATCAATATCAGTATCGGTACCAATATCTGAAAAACTTCTGGATCGGGTATCGGTGACAATGTGACCGATCCATGATGCATGTTGGCTTCAAACAATGGAATGGATTTCCTGAACGGAGGCGTGTCTCATGAACCCAGGGTAATAAGACCCGCCTCACATTCAGGAAATCCAGTTCATAGTTTGCAGACAGCTGCAACGTGAGGACTGAGTTAGCAGCACTGTGGCTAACAGCTAACAAACTTTAAATCTAAACATGTCCGCTGTGTGGAAGTATTTTACACTAAACACCACAAAACAAGACAGCAACGTGCAATGTCTGCAGAGCCATAGCGCCACATTAAACCGCTGTAAAGTTAGTTTTACGTTGGACATTCGAGCTCCGTGGCTTCAGCGGTCTGCTCCTCTCGCTGAACCTGTAGCAGGCAGCCTGACCCCGGCCAGCTGCGTCCAATCTGCCCCGTTCAGTCTGCTCGTCTCCGAGGAGGGGCTGACTGAAATCAGACTGCTTACTTCAGATTGAACAAGAAGAAGAAGAAGACATCGCTGAAGCCCCGAGCTCAAATATTTACAGAGAAGTTGCTAAACTTCATCATAATTAATGACCAGCCACTATCAATTGTAGAAAACTAAGGATTTCACAGCTTGATACTTGCAGTCAAGATATACTTTACCCTCCAGGAGATATTTATCAGTACAACAGTAGACAATCATAAAAAAACATATGATTTGAAAATCACAAGAAAATTTTATATATATATATATATATATATATATAGAAACAAAAACAGCTATATTATAAAGTGATGTAACATACTAAAAACAGGAACATGTCTGTTGGTTTATGCCATGAACTTAGCAGATGTTTAAAGCCATTTAACATTTTATTTAATTTAATTCATATATTCATTCATTTAAAAGAAAACAAATTAATCAAAAAAGAAAACATTGAATGAAAAGAGTTCAGAAAGAAGAAAAATGTTTTATCTGCCCCTTATTTAAAAATAATATAAAATAACTTTAAACAATCACTTAAATTAATCACTTTAATATCCACTTTAAAGCTAGGAATAAAAAGAAACATGTTTTGTGTTAGCAGAATTTAATTCTAACTTTAAAACTTATCCAACATTAATAAAACTTACCTCATGTTGCCTTTTTGGACATGCATGCATCTATTTGTACAAATTGTACTTGAGAGGAGATTATTACAGCCTCATATAAAATCAATGATGATCATGATATTGATAATTCAGCACCGTTTATATGCATCAGCCCAATATCGGATCAGTATCGGTTGATGCATCGATATCGGATCGGAAGTGAAAAAAAAAAAAAGTGGATCGGTTCATCCCTGTAAAGAAGAATGTGAACACCCAGATAATAAACCATTGCTATAGTCCAATCTAGACGTGACAAATGCATGGACCAGCTTTTCTGCATCATTTTTAGATGTTTTTAATTTTAGTGATATTACGCAGGTGGAAGAATGAGGTTCTAGTAATGATTTTAATGTGGAGGATAAAAGACATGTCCTGATCAAAAATAACACCAAGATTTTTAACATTACATTTTACATTAGTACATTTATTTCACTCCTAAAAGAAGTGAAACACATAGTCTAATAATTTTTATTTTAAACCTGTCACTCATGTTGATTATAGAACGTGTTCACCCCATGAATGTTTTCTGCTCTTACTGCTGTCATAAACCAGTCATGCTCAATAGAAACAGAACTTTACAAAAACAATTCAAACACTCTTAGTGTCAAAATGAAACAATTTCTGCAAAGTAGTAACATAAAAATATGTAAGGGATTGCATAAATATTCCTCCCCTTTATAGTGATGGTCCTGATTCAACTCAGGGAACAGATTATTAAAAATTACAAGTCAGAGGATGGAGAACAAAAAGATTTCCACGGCTCTAAACTTCTCCAGGAGGTCTGTTAAATCCATCATCAAGATATGCAAGGAATATGGGAACATGTGTAAATCTACCTAGAGCAGGTCGTCCTGACTGAGACCATGAAGAAGAACACTGAAAGAGACCACCAAGACCTGAGACCACTGAAGAAGCTGCAAGCTTCAGCAGCTGAGGTGGAGAAACTGCGGCAACAGTTGCTGCATGCTCAGCCTCTCCGTGTCACCTGCTGAAGCTTGTAGCTCTGGTTTATGATGGAAATAAAAGCAAAACATTTTTGAGGGCACAACTACTTTTTATAGGAATTCTAGTTTTAGTAAGCTGGTATAGTCTGAGGGCAACACGGTGGTGCAGTGGTTTAGCTGTAATCTCACAGTAAGAAGGTTGCAGGTTCTCCTCCCGGCCTGTACATGTTGGGTTCTGGTCCGGTGGGCTCAGGCTGTCTGTGACTGGTGGATTCTGTCTGCAGTGTGTGGCGGTCTGTCCATCGGTCCTCTGCAGAGCCCCTTCCTCTGTCTGGACTTGGTCTACATCTCACTCCTGCTGCAGGGGCTCGGACTCCCCCCACACCAACAGCTCAGGGTGAGTTCTGACCTGTGCCTTCAGTTCTGGATCAGTGATGTGATCAGGTTCTGACTCACCTGTTCTGACCCTCCACAGCTGGTGAGGACCATCAACCAGGTGGAGACCAGCTGGGCTCTGGGGGCCACCTTCCATTACATGGAGTCCCTGAAAAGACACTGAGACACAACACCTGCTGCTTTTATTTTGAAGGGTTCTGCACAGGGTCCAGGTGTTGGAGAGGAGCTGATCCAAATAATCTGAAAACGCCCATCAGGTTCTGGTTCTGAAGTTGACCCCCATCGTCCTGTGAGCCACGGACCATCAGAACCATCAGAACCTTGTCTTAAAAAAAGACAAACTCCGGTTAAAAAAGGAGTAAGTTCAGAAGACTGAACCTCCTGAAGAGGAGGCAGAAAATGAAGCTCCACCTTCAGCAGCTTTCTTCTCCAGACACCAACAGGACTTCCTGCTCCAATCACCTAAACTCACACTCTTATTTTGAAGAGGTTTAATTTGAAACTCCTGGTTCTATCCTCTTCCTGTTTCCTGTCAACCATCTGACTGAACCCTCCTGAACATCAAAGGTCCGATTAGAGATTAAATGAAGGATTTGTGGGGCAGCCATGATGGAAACGGAGGAAGAAGAAAAGCATGCTGGGTAATATAGAAGGAGCTGCACTATAGGCAGAACCACAGAGTAAAAAGTAAGCCTCAGACAGACGGTCTCTGTGTGAGAGCTTTTTGACCCGTGAGCAGCAGGAGGTTTTGGTGGTACCACAGGTTTGGTTTGTTGACTGACCCACAGTGTTGAACAGTGCTGATCATCCTGCAGCGCCTTCACTTCCTCAGGTGTTTAGTCTCTCTGAGACCAGCATCTGGACCAGCTGCTCTGGGTCCATGACTGGTGGGTCCATGTTTCGCTCTAACACACGACAAAGACTCACTCGTCATTATTACGGTTTGGTTTTAGTCCTCCAGAGCTTGAGATCTGCTCCCTGACAGAAGGATACCAGGACCATGTTGCTCCTCTCAGACCTGGATCATCAGAACTCATGAAGACTTGTCCTGGATCCACTGACCCGGGTCCGCCTGGCCCTGCTCACTTCCTGGGCAGGTGGAGGTGCTTCTGTGACCCGCGGGTTCAGCAGGTTCAGGTTGACTGGGTCTGACTTGACTTCCTTGAATCTATTTAGCTTTTAAATTTAGCTCACCTGGACCTGGTCTTGTAAAATCAAGGCCAGGTTCTGTTGACCGTGACAGATTTGAGTAGACCAGGTTCTGTTCTGCAGCCATGAGAGAAATGTTAAACCTCACATGTTCCTGAACAGGAGGTCAGCCCTCCTGCTGCCCTGGGGTCAAAACGGCCCCTCGGTCTGTCCAGCCTCAGAGAACTGCTTCTCACCTCACAGTTTGAGTTACTCTGAAGAAATGCTCCGTCAAGAAACAGAGGGGAGTGGTGGTGCAGAGGTTAGAGAAGGTGAGCCCGTGATCAGAAGGTCACTGGTTCAACTCCCCAGACCGACAACATCAAAATGTGGGTGGGATACGTGAAGTATCCACACCTGCCTCCACCCTCATTTACCACTCTGGGCCCTTGAGCAAGGCCCTTAACCCCCATCATCTGCTGCCCCAGGCGCCCCAGATAGCAGCTCTCTGCTCCACACAGAGGGTGGTGGTAGCTCGGTGTCTGTGGTGTCGTCAGGAAGGACGTCCGGTGTAAAAACCATCACCAAGTCTCCGTGCGACAGTTCGCTGTGGTGACCCTGAAGAAGGAGCAGCTGCAAGAACTCTTTGAAGAAATAGTTGGGAATTAAACAGATTTTATTTTTAGACGTGGTATTTTTAAAATTAAATATATATTTTGAAGGCACAAGTCATTGCGTTGTAATTTGTTTTTCAGGGTTTGAATGACATCATGATCTTAAATTCAAATATAACCAATCATAATCTAATATAATCGGAATGAAAGAGTCATTTTAAGATTAAAATCTGGCCAATAAAGAAAATATCAAATTTGAACTTTTGTCCTCATCAAAACTATATTATTTTAAAACAAAGTTGCATAAAGTTGTCAAGCTTTATTAGTTTGTTTAATGTCGTCACATTTACACGACACATTGTGAGGGTTGTGTTTAAACAATTTATTCATGGACAGTTTGATTAAAGTACTTGAACATTAAAAACCTCGTGACGAGACACTGACAGACGTACGTGTTGCAAAGACTAATTGTGTACATTTGATCTTTTAATTGCATTTATCACAGTCAATCCCAAACCTGGATTATATTTTTTATTTTGCTGAATCTGCAGATATTTCTGACGAACTACAAACACCTGACGCTCACAGAGAACACCATGGGAAAAAGTTAGATACACACCTTTACTTTAATCTTCCTTGTATAAACATCTAAATCAGCCACTCATTTATATTGGTGTTTTTATTTATTTGTATTTTGTTGTCAGTAAACACTGCTGTTTCTGGCTGTTGCTGTTTGTAGGTAGTTTTTTACACAGACAGGAGCTCAAAAACTCATCTTTTATTTAAAAACAATAATATGTGACGGCGCAGCAAAACTTACTCAGAGGGGAAAACGCCAGGAGACCACGGTCCAGCGAGGACCAGGCTCTGAAGACAGAACGTAATGGATGAGGCTGATGGACACACCTGTGAGGAGTGCACATCTGGAGCAGGAGAGTGGGTGTGGCCAGCTGAAAGGTGCAGGAGCTGAACTGAGGGCTCAAGAACTCAGAACTGAAGTCAACCTACTGGTAAATACAGAAATCACAAATGGGCAGAATGTCCTGACAAAACACTAAAACCCACAGAACCCACCGGTCCTGCTACTTTACTGGCCTCAGTGCAGACTAGTGTAAAGCACTTTGTCTTGATAAGATGGAAAGGTGCTGTAGAAGTACAGTCCATTTACCATTCAGTGTTCCTCTGGGGACAATCCATTATATTGAACTCCTGTTATAAATGGATCACATATGATGTAAAATAATGCATTCCTCTCAGTAATTATTATTTTTTTTTAACATTTCTATAATTTGAATATGTTGCCTACGTGGTGCTGTCAAACCCACTGATCATCACGGCAGCAAGGGGCTGGAACCCAGGCTCATCTGACAAAAAGGTTTCAGTTTGGATATGAGGTGTAGAAATCCACTCGAGATGTGCACAACTAAACATTTGGTTCAAAACAGTCATTTGACCTGCATGTTAACCTGAAGAATCCTTAATCTCATTGTATCTGCTCCCCTTGGGGTCAATCCTGAGGAAACATGGTATTTAATTTCATTGTTACGCCGATGATTCTCAGATTTATCTGCCTTTAAAACCTAACAGTTCCTGCTCCATCCACCCTTTGCTGAAACGTCTTGATGACATCAAGACTTGGATGGCTGCAAACTTCTTGAGTTTTAATGATCAGAAGACTGAGGTCATTGTGTTTCACCCAAGCTCTACTGTTGTCACTGATCCTGTAAACCTGCACCCCCTTCAGCCTCATCTAAAGCAGTCAGTTACCAATCTTGGGGTAGTGTTAGACTCGGACTTCAAGTTTAATAAACAGATCAACTCAGTTCTACAAAAAAGCTTCTTTCAGCTAAGGCAAATAGCAAAGCTTAAGTTCGTTCTGTCCAGATCCGACCTTGAAAAACTAGTCCATGCATTTATTACTACCCGGCTGGACTACTGTAACTCACTTTATGTTGGGGTTAGTCAGGCTTCACTCTCACGTCTCCAGCTCGTACAAAATGCTGCAGCTCGGCTACTAACAGGAACTCACAGGTTTGAGCACATTACTCCGGTTCTGTCCTCCCTTCACTGGCTTCCTGTACGTGTCAAGAGTTGATTTTAAAATTCTCCTGCTGACATTCAAGTGCATTAACGGCCTCGCACCACACAGTGGACCAACACCAGCAGATGACATTGCACCCAAACCATCAATGACTGTGGAAACTTGACACTGGACCTCAAGGAATGTGGATTCTATGACTCTCCTCTCTTCCTCCAGACTCTGGGACATTGATTTCCAAAGGAAATTGAAAATTTACTTTAATCAGAGAACATAACTTTGGACAACTCAGCAGCAGTCCCAGGCGAGACGTTTCTGATGCGGTTTCTTGTTCCAGAGTGGCTTGGCCCAAGGAATGTGACAGCTGAAATCCATGTCTTGCATACGTCTGTGCATGGTGGTTCTTGAAGCACTGACTCTAGCTGCTCTCTGCTCTTTGTGAATGTCCCCCACATTTTGGAATGGGTTTTGTTTCACAATTCTCTCCGGGGTGCGGTTATCCCTATTACTTGTACACTATTTTCTTCCACATCTTTCCTTCCCTTTGCCTCTTTATTAATGTGCTTGGACACAGAACTCTAACAACCAACCTCTTTAGCAATGACCTTTTGTGTCTTGCCCTCCTTGTGCAAGGTGTCAATGGTCGTCTTTTGTACAACTGTCAAGTCGGCAGTCTTCCCCATGGTTGTGTAGCCTCCAGAACTAGACTGAGACCATTTAAAGACCTTTGCAGGTGTTTTTAGTTAATCAGCTGATTAAAGTGTGGCACCAGGTGCCTTCAATAATGAACCTTTTCACAATGTTCAAATTTTCTGAGATACTGAATGCGGGGTTTTCATTAGTTTCAGATATAATAAACATTAAAAGACAAACTTTTTAAATATATCACTTTTTTTAATGAATGAATATAATATACAAGTTTCACTTTTTGAATTGAATTACTGAAATAAATAAACTTTTTCATGATATTCTAATTGTATGACCAGCACCTGTACATTAAAACAACAGCCAATTAGTAAAAGTCATCTATTTAAGGAAGCAGCATATGAATCCACTTTGTCACTCTGGAGGGCTTTGGTGTGACCGGAGGCAGAATAAGGTGACAGGTTTGAAAAATTCAAAAACCACAAAATCAAGGGATTTGTAGGAATAATTTTTAAAGGTGGAAGCTTGTTAAATCTTGAACCTGCCTCTGACTTGGAGCTGTCAAGCAGTCACTGATGACTGCAGCAGTGAGAAGCTGGAAACGGATGTTGAACTGAACTTTTGTTTGGCTGGTGTCAGAATATGGCATCGATAGAAGTAGAAAGAAGCAATTGGAATAGCATGGATGGTAGTGAAGAGGAAGAGATGGACGATCAAAATGAAGAGAAAGAGTGGGAAAGGTGGGGAAGGGTGGAAAGAAACAGCAAGCTAGTGAAAGGAAAAAGAGAAATGAGGAAAATACAGAAGGAACTGACAGTGAAGGTAATGAAGAAAGAGCAAAAGTGTCAAA